TAATGATAATAAAATTGTGATTGTATTGCAAAATGTGTTGTATACCATTTGAAAGTGAATTATGTGTGAATGATTCATAAAAATGTGCAAGTATATGTAATTGTGTGATAATTCAAGTGTGATGAATTATTGAAGATATGCATGAATGTTAAGATTAGGGAATTAACTTAATTGCATATGATTGTTGAACTTTCACATGCATCATTTTGTTGTTAAGAGGCAATGTTTGTTAGTTCTGTGGGAACTAGTGACTTGTCCCAAACCTAGAGCGGGGTTTGAAAGCTTAGGGGATGAGTTTTTCATGTGTTATTGGTCTAGGAAACGGACCCGGTTTAATGTAAAAATCGAAAAATAATAACAAGTAATTGGTACCACATGCATGAGTTTCATTAGAGTCTTGTATTGAGTCATATCATGTATATGTTTGCAATATGAGATTATGCGAAATATGTGAAATTGATGAATTGACGAATTATAGAATTGTGAGTATGTACTTGTGAATAGTATGGCCACTTGAGTGATAATATGTTGATGAAACTATTGGAGTGTGAGAATAATTATTTTATGTTTGTATGCCATAAATTATATATTATCTTATGATTTCGATAATTATGTGAATTCTCACTCTTCTGTTGGAATGATGTTTTATACGACATCGCTTAGGTACCAAGGAGTAGAGTTGCTTCTAGCGCGAGGTAGCCGTTGGAGTAGCTTGGTTTAGTTTCTCTATTTATTTTTGGTTGAGTCGTGCTCTGATCATGTAACATTGGGAGCACTTCGATTCATGTTTTGAGGGATACTTTATGTACTCTACTTTATTTTGTTATTGTTATTTGAATTATGTGGAGTGTCGGCTTTTTTGCCTAAGCGATGATTATGAATTAGTTGATCATGGGGCTTTCATTATGTTAATTTATGATTGAAGTAATTTCGTTGCTACATGCTATGTGAAAGTATATGAAAAGCATGAATTTATTTTAAGTGTTATTGAGTGTGACAAGTATATATGTGATGTTTTGAATTATATGTGACAGTCTGATTTGAGATGCATGATAATTTACTTTGATTATTTTTATATATTTCGCAGGGTTTAGAAGGGTGTTACATTAGTGGTATCAGAGCAGGTTGGTTCATCCGACCAGATTGTCTAATATTGTTTGTTCCTTAGTATGCAATATGTGTGTGAAAACACTAATGGTACACGTTTGTTTTTCTAAGCTCTGTCTGTAGGAGTGGGATTAAAACAAGTCGGGGAGAAGCTTGTGCTTCTCCAAGATGATTCAAGTGTGGAGTGGTGGCTCAGTGTGTCGTTAAACGCTATTATAGTTTGGTAAAGATGGTTTATGCCCCATCCTTATTGTCAGCTGTCTATTGACAAAATGAGGAACTGATCACCCTTAATCTGTTGTTGATGGTAGATGGGATCATGTTGGATGGAATAGACGTGTCTTGTGAGCTTAGATGGTGTGTATAATGAATTGTTTGGATTTAAGCCAAGTGCTTACAAATTATTTTGATGAGTCGGTGTAGGATGGTGTTGAGATATTTATGTTGATGGCAACTTTAAGTGTTAATGAAAGTGGGGAAGTTGGTGTTTTGCCAATTGTTTATGATTTTCCGGAAGTTTTTCCTGTGAGATAAGTGATTTACCGCCAGAACGTGAGGTGGAGTTTACGATCGACTTAGTTCCTGGAACTAGTCCAGTATCGATGGCTCCATATCGTATGTCCGCATCAGAATTGAAAGAGTTAAAGAGTCAACTTGAAGATTTGCTTGAGATGAGATTCATTCGTCCGAGTGTGTCACCGTGGGGTGCACCAGTTTTGTTGGTTAAGAAGAAAGAAGGTTCTATGAGACTTTATATGGATTACAGACAATTGAACAAGGTGACTATCAAGAATAAGTATCCACTTCCGAGGATTGATAATTTGATGGATTAGTTGGTTGGTACAATTGTGTTCAGCAAGATAGATTTGAGGTCTGGGTATCATCAAATTTGTGTGAAGGCTGAAGATATTCAGAAGACTGCTGTTAGAACGAGGTATGGCCATTATGAGTATTCTGTGATGTCGTTTGGTGTGAGTAATGCACCGGGTGTATTTATGGAGTACACGAACAAGATTTTCCATCCGTATTTAGACAAGTTTGTGGTTGTGTTCATTGATGATATTTTGATATGTTCGAAGAGTGAAGAGGATCATGCTAAGCATTTGAAAATTTTGTTATCAGTGTTGAAAGAGAAGCAGTTGTATGCTAAACTTTCTAAGTGCGAGTTTTGGTTGAAGGAAGTGAGTTTCCTTGGCCATGTGATTTCGAGTAGAGGTATTGCAGTTGATCCGTCGAAGGTTAAAGCTGTATCACAATGGGAAGCTCCGAAATTTGTTTTTGAGATTAGAAGTTTTCTTGGGTTGACAGGTTATTATTGGAAATTCATTAAAGGATTTTCCAAGTTATCTTTGTCATTGACGCGGTTGACTAGGAAGGTTTAAGCCTTTGTTTGGGATGCAAAGTGTGAATAAAGTTTTTAAGAGCTTAAGAGAAGGTTGACGGCAACTCCTATTTTGATTTTACCTAATCTGGCAGAACCGTTTGTTGTATATTGTGATGCTTTGTTGATGGGTTTGAGAGTTTGATTGATGTAACATCAGCAAGTTATAGCTCATGCTTTAAGGCAACTTAAAGTGAATGAGAGGAATGATCTGACGCACGATTTAAAGTTGGCTGTTGTTGTGTTTGTGTTGAAGCTTTGGAGGCATTATTTGTTCGGATCGAGATTTGAAGTGTTTAATGAACATAAGAGCTTGAAATATCTCTTTGATCAGAAAGAATTGGATGTGAGACAGAGGAGATGGTTGGAACTTCTGAAGGACTATGATTTTGGTTTAAATTACCATCCCAGTAAAGCAAACATGGTAGCTGATGCATTGAGTCATAAATCTTGCATATTTCGATGATGATGGTAAGAGAGTTATAGATGATTGAGGAATTTCGAGATATGAGTTTGGTTTGTGAAGAGACTTCTCATAGAGTTAAGCTTGGTATGCTGAAGCTTACTAGTGGTATTCTTGATGAGATTTAGGAAGGTCAGAAATCTGATTTGAGTTTGGTAGATTGGTTGACTTTGATTAATCAAGGTCGAGGTGGTGATTTTTGGATTGATGAAAATGGTATCATGAAATGTCGTGATAGATTTTGTGTTCCGGATATAGATGAGATGAAAAAGAGTATTCTTGAGGAAGGACATCGTAGTAGATTGAGTATTCATCCGGGTGATACTAAGATGTATCAGGATTTGAGGAAAATATTTTGGTGGCCTAGTATGAAGAAAGAAATTGCAGAGGTTGTGTATTCTTGTTTGACTTGTTAGAAGTCGAAGATCAAACATCAGAAATCGTCGGGTTTGATGCAACTGTTATATATTCCTGAGTGGAAATGGGATAATATATTGCTGGATTTTATGTCTGATTTACCAAGAACATCGAGTAATTGTGAGGCTATTTGGGTCATTGTGTATAGATTGAAGAAATCTGCTCATTTTATTCCAATGAGAATGGATTACCCATTGGAGAAGTTAGCAAAGCTATACATTGAGAGGATTGTCAGTTTACATGGTATTCCGTCTAGCATTGTGTCAGATAGAGATCTGAGGTTTACTTTAAGATTTTGGGAATGTTTGCAAAGTTCTTTGGGTATAAAGTTGAGGTTGAGTTCTGCTTATCATCTGCAGACAGATGGTCAGACAGAGAGGATGATTTAGTCACTTGAGGATCTTTTGAGAGCTTGTGTGTTGGAAAACGAAGGTGCTTGGGATAACTACTTGCCTTTAATTGAGTTTACTTACAACAACAATTTTCATTCGAGTATTGGAATGACACGTTTGAAGCCTTGTATGGTAGAAGGTGTAGAATGCCATTGTGTTGGTATGAGTCGGGAGAGAGTGTTGCGGTTGAACCTGAGATAGTCCAACAGACTACTGATAAGATTAAGATGATTCAGGAGAAGATGAAGATTTCTCAGTGTCGTCAGAAGAGTTATCATGACAAGAAAAGGAAAGCACTTGAATTTTAGGAAGAAGGTCATGTGTTTCTTAGAGTTACTCCGGTAACTGGTGTTGGTCGGGCATTGAAGTCGCATAAGTTAACATCGTGTTTTATCGGTCCATACCAGATTTTGCAGAGAATAAGAGAGGAGGCTTATCAGGTTGCTTTGCCATTGTCGCTTGATAATCTCTATGATGTGTTCCGTGTATCTCAGTTGAGAAAATACATTGCGGATCCGTCTCATGTAGTCTAAATAGATGATGTGCAATTGAGAGATAACCTGAATGTGGAGATATCACCTATGCGGATAGAGGATTGGGAGTTGAAGCAACTTCGAGGTAAAGAGATTGATTTGGTGAAGGTAGCTTGGGGAGGACTAGCTGGTGGAGACGTGACTTGGGAGCTTGAGAGTTAGATGTGGGAGTCTTATCCTGAGTTGTTCGTTTGAGGTAATTTTTTAGGGCGAAAATCTTTTAAATGGGGGAGAGTTGTAACAACCCAATTTTAGTAATTATTTATATTAATTAATTAATTAATTAATTAATTGAATGCTTTTGTGCATAATTAAGTTATTTGATTTAATTGAATTATTTAATTTAATTGATTTATTTTATTTGATGGAATAATATGTGGAAACAGTAGATATAAGTAAGTGGACCTTAAATAGAGAATGTGAATAGTAAGTATGAGGGTGCGTTAAGTAAGCCCATTAGAATTGTTAGGATAATTGTGAGATTTGATAAAATTTCGTGGAATCATTACGGGTCGTGAGGCCCGTTCATCCTTCAAAAACCCAAAAAACGGTACACAAAAAAGGGCAATGCGTTGGGCAAGCACAAGAAGGGGTATCACGACCTGTTGGCCCACTCTGTTTTCCCAAAAAGAAACTGAACTTAAGACAAACATCACTTTCATCAATATTTGGCTCAGCTTAGTTCCATCAATTGCACATAGTTGTCTTCAACCTTTTTGCAGCTTTGGCAAATCCTCAAATAACTTGCTACTCATCCATTTGCTGCGACATGAAATGCTTCTTGAACAAAATCTACCAGTTTCTCTTTGGATGGGTTTGGAATAGCATCCACCAGATTGAACTGAGTATTCAAGGTCATCATCTACCTCGTTGCCGGCAGGTAGTTCAGTCACACTAAGAGCATTGCTCTGCAGCTTCACTTCAATACCATTGGTAAGAACCAGCCAATGCCAATCTCCAAGTCTAACAGCTTTCTTGACAACACCATGAATACCAACGAGTACTGATTTGGTGTGATTGTTTCCAGTTACCACGACTTTGGTGTGATGTGGAAGAATTGAGAGTTCTTCTTCACTGCTATCACCGAAGCTTTGTAAATGTTGCGAGAAACCACCGTTCACGGAACTTTCCATTGCTTCCAACATTTTTTCTGAAAAGGAGGATTGAAATTAAGAGATGGAGGAAGAGAGAAAGGCGATCGGAAGCGCGATGACGGAGATGATTCTGCATTGGTGATGATGAATTGAGTGGAATATTGAGGGAGAGAAAATTGGGGGGAAATTGATGAGAGAGAAATGGAGTGAATAGAAATGGCGCCGTCGGTTCTCCCGACTGGGTGATCAATTTTGGTTCCATTTTGTATAGAAAGTGAAGGTGATAATATGTACATTAAATTAGTTGCAGTAAAAGAGTTATGTTGAAACTTTGAAAAAAAAAAGAGAAAAACAAGAAACGAGGCTTTACTAAGAGAAAGAGAGCAAATGGAAGGGGAAATGACGGATCCTTTTCCCTTTTCTTCTTTTTTTAGACCTAATATATTGTTCCCTTTTATACATAGGTCAAACAAGTCAAAGATTTTGTATTGGGCTTAAAAGAGAACTGGATAATGGACTCTGTTGGTTTTGTATTGGATCATGGTTTTCTTTGAAAATTTTGGATATGGATTTAAAATTGAAAAGTGGATTGAAATGAATATATTAAAAAGGATAAATGGATATGAATTTGAAAAATGGTTTTAAAAATGGATATGGATATGGTTTAGATTAGAATGAGTTTAAAAAGAAATACGATTAATGGCTTGGAAGAAGAATAGTTATGGAAATGATTCGAAATGGATATTTGGATAGAATTTGGATTTTGGATCAGGGAATGGGTACAAACGGATAATGTCATAGAAAAATGAACATTTGGTTTAATGGATATGCATCTTTGATTCTAAGTAAATCACATGGACCTTTCTAAACACGCTTAATTCAAACCGACTTCCTATTCCAATCAATCTTTCAATTTTTATAGACCCCAAAAATCAACCAGTAAACCAAATTGACCATGTCCCAATGCCAAAAACACTTTGTCCTGGTGATCACTGACCCTAACATGAAACCCTGACCTCATGATCTGATGACTATCCATAAACTCATCTTTGAATGAGAAAACCAAGATCTTCCTTGAGTGCACACTCTTGTTTTCAACTGACTGAAGTAGGAACCAACTGAATCACCTCTAAATAGGGCAAACAACAACAACAAGTGAGTCCTTCAATCCCATGTCTTAGAGGACCAATGCAAAACATGAACATGCCTTAAATAAGATGCAGATGAACGCGAAACAAAAGCCAGCTAAAGTTAGAAAAAGAGAGGGCAAATTTTAGGGTGAAACAATGGGCAATAGCATATTTAGGATAAAAATTCCTAATTTCCAAGGTCGTTGTTATATGATGATTATATGATGAGTTTGTGTGCCTTATATGTGTGTATTTTTTTTTCTTTTTTGAGGATTGAACATATATCCATCAATTTCAAAGGTTTTAGGCATAATTTTAAAATAATGGTTAGATGGTTTAATTGTGTTAAAATTGTAAATTTACTTGAGTTTTAGTTTTTATATAATCAAAATCGGAGGTCCGGAAGGCCTCCAACAGTGAAAAACGCAGAAAATTCTGCATGCTGTCCGTCACAAGTGTTCATGTTTTTGGTCGAAATCGTTTTGGTCATAATTTTTGTTCCGTAAATCTGTTTTGGTGCCCGTTCAAAGTGTTATAAAGTTAATGAATAGAGCTATAACATAGTATAGAAAATATAATTGGTTGCAAAATATTTTTATATCTAATATGTTTGGGAAGTCAATTGTGTATATATTCTATTAATGGATTGTTGTGTTGTTTGTTGCCGGTTGTGAAATTATTTGTGAATGATTTATCGAATATGTATGTGTGCTTGTATAGGTATATTTTGGTGTGTGACAACATGAAATGCATGATAGTTATTGCTTGTTGTAATGATAATAAAATTGTGATTGTATTGTAAAATATGTTGTAAACCATTTGAAAGTGAATTGTGTGTGGATGATTCATAAAAATGTGCAAGTATGTGTAATTGTGTGATAATTCAAGTGTGATGAATTATTGAAGATATGCATGAATGTTAGGATTAGGGAATGGTATTAATTGCATATGATTTTTGAATTTGCACATACATCATTTGTTGTCAAGAGGTAATGCTTATTAGTTCCGTGGGAACTAGTGACTTATCCCAAATCTAGAGCGGGGTTTGAAAGCTTAGGGAATGAGCTTTTTGTGTGTTATTGGTCTACGGAACAAACCCGGTTTAATGTAAAAACCGAAAAATAATAACAAGTGATTGGTACCACATGCATGAGTTGCATTAGAGTCTTGCATTGAGTTATATCATGTATATATTTGCAATATGAGATTATGCGAAATATGTGAAATTGATGAATTGACAAATTATGGAATTGTGAGTGTGTACTTGTGAATAGTATGGTCACTTGAGTGATAATATGTTGATGAAGCTTTTGGAGTGTGATAATAATTATGTTATGTTTGTATGCCATAAATTATATATTATCTTATGATTTCGATAATTATATGAATTCTCACCCTTCTGTTGGAATGATGTTTTGTACGACATCGCTCAGGTACCGAGGAGTAGAGTTGCTTCTAGTGCAAGGTAGTCGTTGGAGCAGCTTGTTTTAGTTTCTCTATTTATTTTGAGTTGAGTTGTGCTATGATCATGTAACACTAGGAACATTTCGATTCATGTTTTGAGGGATACTTTATGTACTCTACTTTATTTTGTTATTGTTATTTGAATTATGTGTGGAGTATCGACGTTTATGCCTAAGCGATGATTATGAATGAGTTGTGTTAGTTCCATGATTCTATGATTGTCCATGGTTCTATGATTGGTTAAATTTTGGTAAAACATGATTCTGAACTGATGTTAAGCAAGATGTTATAATATCTTCATCTACTGTCAAGATAGAACTGCTGTCATGTATTTTAATCAAGATGTCGAGACAGATGTCATGACATCTTTGTCTGGTACAACAGTGTTGCACCTCAAAATTTTCCCAACCTTTTTCTTTACTTGGCTTGTGTTTCATTTCATTTCTTTAGCATTTGCATCTGCATAGCATTATCCTTTTTAGGGGATCAAGGGAGGTGTGCCATCCAAGAGAAAGTTGTCAAAGGTTTCAAGCTCAAGCAAGAGTGGTTACTCAAGTTATCCAATACTTGCAATCATCAAGAGGTAGTCAAGACTCTTTGAGAAAGGGGATAGACAGGTGTTGTTTACCTCCTATCTTGGAGGGCATTTGAGGATCATCATGGGTTTTCAAGGCTATGGTTATGGATAAGAGGTGTTTGAGAAGCTCATTGAGTGCTTTTGAAGTCATTGTGGAGCTTATCTAAGTGGTCATATCATTTGCAAGAGTGGTGCACCTAGGGTCTCATCTGCTTAGTTCAAGGTCAACTGTGGCTTGAAGGAGTTGGAGACTTGGTTTCAAGTCATTAGAGTCATGGAAAGTCATGTTGAGACATCTAGGATGTTATTTCAAGTTCAAAGTAAGAAGAATCAAGAGTGTGAGAAGTTACTAAATTAGGGTTTCAGAAGGTTGTTAGTGTAAAATCCCCTATTTAGTGCCTAACTTCAAGACCACATATCTCAAGATACAAGTTCAATCTCATTTTCTTATAAACATGAGACTTGTAGAGCATGTTCTAAGCTTTCGTTTGAGTACTAGTACTCACCCATGGGGTTTGTGGAACTCAAGTTATGATGCCATCAAGTTATAGGTCTCAGATGAACATATTCTTCATTCAACAAAGTTCAACCAACTTCCAAGACACTTATGACCTATAATCATGTTTCTCATTAACTTTTGATGAACATGAAAGTTGTTCCTTATGATCTTAGCTTTCCAAAAAGTCCTATAAGTCCTTCATATCATTTGTAGAACTCAAGTTATGAAGATTGCAAGGCAGGGGTATTTTAGGAAACTTTGATTATAGGTCATTTGAATCATAGGTCATTCTCGTGCCTTTAAGTACTTCAAATAAAACTTTCACCAACATGAAAGTGGCTCCAAATGACCTCAATTTCATCATGAAACTCAATATTGGCATGAATTATGAGTGGTTAGATACATTGGTGAAGAAATTTCAAGTGAAAATGGACCTCTTAAAGTGAATTCAATTGATTTGGTTAAAGGTCATTTTCATGTCATGTTTGTACTCATTTTGGTTCACAATACTCCAACAAACAAAATGCACAAATTTATTTTGGTGTATGAAGTGAAAAACACGTGGATTTTGGAGTTACTTCATGAAAAAGTTTCACATCCAAACTTGCCATATGGATCACAATCAAGCCCAATTCCAATCCACATGTGTAATTCAAAGCCTCAGCTGAAGAATGGAATCAATTTCATGTGTGTACATAGCCATATTCACGTGTGCATGGATCACTTGCCAAATTGGGCATTTTCAAAATTCTCTTCAACAAAGCCTCGTTGGGCCTCCAATTCATCAGATATCCATAGTATATAAGTTCAAAATCAAGTCTGAGAGCTCAGAAGGTGAAATTCGTGGAGGGAAGAGCAAATTCAGTTTTGAACTTCAAGAGAGAAATTCAAAATTGTGAACTCAAATCCAAGGAAATTCAAAGCAAATTGAAGTGATATTCTTCTTCCTCAAGCTATTTGGAGTTGATCTGCACGCTTGCAAGCAAGCTAAGTATCAATTGAAGCACCAACGGAGTGTCTCCGTTAGGTAATCTTCAGTTCCATATTTCTTTCATGTTAGGCACTGAATCTAGGTCATTATTGGTGCATATGAAGACCTACATCTTGTAGACAATGTTTGACATCTTAATTGCTATGTTTGATGGGTTTTACAGTTGAGCACTCAAATCTTTCTTCATTCAAAAATCTCTCTGTTTAAGCATGATTAATGAAATTGAACCATGGATTCGTGACCTACGTGATGAGACCTTTAATTTGGTATAAAATTTTGCTTGATTTGGTGGAGTTTTGGAACCTGAACTCCGGACACCTCGCCGGAGAAGACAACCGGAGCTAGGGCTCCAGCGTCTGGTTCAAACTCAGGTCAGCTGAGGTGGATTTG